AAGATCAAGTTGAGTGAGAGTGTTGTTTACTTTCAGTGCTTCTCCTAGTGCTTCGCCTCCTCTATCCGATATTTTGTTCTTTGCAAGATTAAGTTGAGTGAGAGTGTTGTTTACTTTCAGTGCTTCTGCTAGTGCTTCGCCTCCTTTATCCGATATTTTGTTCTTTGCAAGATTAAGTTGAGTGAGAGTGTTGTTTACTTTCAGATCGTTTGCAAGTAGGGAAACGGCCGTGGCTTGTTCAAAAGAATTACGAGCCGTCGTGTCCTGGTGATCGCTGAGTTTGATAAGTAGTCTTAGTGACGACAGTTGTGTCATACATGAAAAGTGCGGCAACACGACTTTGATCAGTTGTTCTGCTTTGATGGGGCACAAGGATAAAGAGCGAAGGTTTACCAATGTGTTCTTGAGAAAGTGGGTGAAGAACAAGTCAACATAATCGGAGGTGTCAGACAGATGCAGAGAACGAATTTGTGCCGTTGATGGAAAGTGTTCGGAGATAAAGTCACACCTGGATCTGCTGATGGGTTGAAAGTTCAGATCAAAGTGTAGGCTGCCAAGTAGTCCATCGAAACGATCGTTTAATCGAAGGAATGAGTGGAGAATATCATAAGCATGGAAATATTCAAAGATTTCAAGGACCACTTCATTCGCAAGCGATTGAAATTGTGTCACATCTAAACAAATATGCATTATCAAGAGTTTGAATTCTTGGTCTCTCTTGTATGAAGAGAGCCTCTGAAGTGTAAAGGAGGGACAATGGCAAAGCTGATACTCATTCTCGAAGATGGATAGCAGTGTCACATCGAGTGATAGTTCTTGCGAGTATTAGGCACGGTTCCATCCTCCCAGTCGAATATGGACGGATGGCCAGCCATCAGCAGTTTAGTATGGTCTTGACCATGGATATCATATCTCTCTCCACTATTCTCAACACATTGCAATCATCAGGTTTGTATATGCAGCAATGAATGTAGTTGAAAAACACATGATCAACTTACCATTCTGTGCTTGCTTCAAATATTGATCGTTGCCACAAGTACTGAGCAATCGGTCTGATAAGTCATGCTGCATTTCTCTTCGGGATATGCAATCAACGTTTGTATTCATTCTGCTGTCAGTTGTAACCAGAGAACTGAATTGACGTGATGTTTTTACCGACATCGTTTAGGTGTTTTCATGATAATATCACTGCTTTATGGTTTTTTTTTCTGTTATTAAGAGTCAATAGAAACGAAACTCGTTGTTTGAGTGTGACGTAACAGATAAGGAGAAAACAGCTCTGACAGAGCATATCTTCTGTGCAGAGGGACATGCCTTAAAAAACGAATGTGGTTGGGCGACGAAGGGAATGTGGCCTCTCCTGGGTCGAGATAGTCTATAGCAAACGTTAAGCGCGGAATGCTCACAGTGAACGTAAAAAGTGACAAAAAATCGGTTGATTGATAGCCTTGTGCCTAAGTTATGTCACTCATATCTTAAGCAGTACAGGAAAAAGGACAAAAACTCTTGACGTAATTGATCAGAAACTTGAGAAATCTTTTACATTTTAATCAAGATTTTTTACCTGGCGCATCTAGTTCCTGGTAAAAAAATATACTACAGCTGTATTAACTGCGTGTTTTGTAGCGTTACATTAAGGCTCTTTTGTAAAAGAACACGCCGTATGTTTTCCTCAGTAGTCTGTGAAACAGTTAGTTACTTTGCGTTTTGTGCCTTTTTCAACGATCATAAAAACAGGAAAGTGGGAAACATTCGTTATCTTCTCTTTTTTCTTTAAATCATCTATATAATATGTCTATTATCTAAAACCGATCGGTATATCAATGGTAACCGAGCGGTATTCTCCACACATTGGTGCGAAGAATACTACTCGATACGCCGTTTCAAAGTTATTCACTTTTTGTTTTGATGGTTAGAGGAGTGTATAACACATAGGCCTTTTAATATCGAAAATAACACAAAAAGATTTTTTATTAGCAAATCGAGGGTAGATTCAAGCCTACCTTAGCCTACCGGCTGCGCCACCTATGGTATAACAACGACAAAAATTAAAAAACTTCTAACTTACCTCTCACTAACTCGTCACTGAACATCAACTTTGACTTGAATTACTATCGTAAGATGTCCTACGATCTTGAGATGGCAGTACCCCGCAGGATGTACCAAACGATATATTGGCGGTATTTTGTCGATATTCGAGACATGCGAAGGGACCATACGGCACTCTAAAGCCTTCTTTGAGAGAAAACAACAACATATATGAAATATCTTCTTAGACTCTCAGCTCAGATTGATACGTCGCTTCATAAGGACGGTCAGGGCTGACGTTACTGGGGTGGGGGTGCGACACCCCCACCAATAAAAAATTCTCGACTTGTCCCAGCAGAAAAAAGTTCTTATCTCAGTGAAGCACCCTCTCCCTCCCTCCCCAAAGTCTGGCTGATCGCGACAGCCCTGAGGATGGTACCTTTTTCTCCATTGTATTTGGATCGGTGTACCAAATATGACTTCAACACATTTATAATCATCTTTTCGCTTCGTACATTTTCATCTCCATTTTTACAATACTTTGAATGGTTGAAATCGATTGTCTTTCGTTTTACTCACTTCTGCATAGTTGTTATCACATTGTAATGGCTCATACTAGGCTTGAGCACAATTCCTCACATAGAAATATTGTTGAACTTACAGGAAAAAACGTTTATCTGTTCTTTGCACAGTTTTTACAGTAGATTTTTTTTAATTTGTTTTTCTTTCACAAATAATATAAAACTAATTGACAAACAGTTGTAAATAAAAACGTATAGAAACAAGAACAGATTTAGCTTTACAACAGTCGTTTACGATTATTTCCACAGTATATGAAACCTGCGTATCTCTATTATCGGAAGTGTCAATATGTTATCGTTTTTCTTCTTTTATTTGTCTGATGAAAACTGAACAAATCATCGTGAGAACCATCGTATTTTTGTTCTTCAAAATCCATGCTGGTGATGGGATCAGTTCATTTTACTCACCCCGTTTTATGCTATATTTAGAATACTAACAGCTCCCGAAACAGCATATTTGATTGTCTTCCCTACCCCTACTTGCAGTTTAAATACAGCATAAAACGAAGTGAGTAAAACGAACTGATCCCATCACCAGCATGGATTTTAAAGAACATAATTCTGTCTATAAAAATACGATATCTTCCAGTTCTCGCTATGATTTGTTCAGTTTTTATCAGACAAACAAAAGAAGAAAAACGATAACATATTGGCACTTTCTGTAACAGAGATACGCGGTTTTCATCAATAGAAATCATAATGGGCGCAAAGTTTCCATCCATGCTCACCTGTAGATGCACACGGTCTGTTCATCCTAATAACCTAAACAATTTTTCGGACTTCTTGCTCAACCTTTGTTTCATACACACGATTCATGATTATATTCTAGTAGAATTAAGACTTTTACGAACACTTGAGTTTTCTAAATTAATTTTTAGTTTATTGTAAACTCTTTGAAACAAACAAGAATATTTTCATGAACTTATTAAAAAAGCTATTCATTTTTTGCCTGATTTTTAAGTTTCTGACACGATTTTCGCGGAAATTTTTTCCACTCATGACGATCCCGGTTTCACAGTTCGTGTGAGACTTGAGGTGAAAAGAAGTTTTCATCTCGTGGATCAAAAGTTATCAACATTTTACGGAAAAGGAATAAAACGCTTATATCTGCCGAATGATCCAATCAAAGAGATTTAAACTTGCTGGATGATCAGCATTCAGTGAGACAAATAACCACACAGAAGTAGAAGTCACTAGTTGTCACGGTTCTTGAGTTACAGGGGTACCTCTACTTGTGTGGAGCAACGTAAATAAGTAAATAAAATAAAAACATAACAACTTGTTGTCTTTCTGATGCCTCGAAGCAAACAAAGTGTAGAAGAGATTAGAGCGGATAAAAAGAATGTAAACAGTTTTCAACTGAGAATATCCCATAGTGTACTTAATGAATAACCCATTGGAAGTTTTTCAATGGCTAGACCAAGTTCATCTGAATAAACAGGCTCACGATCTCGCTTGCTAAAGTCGGCCAAATATGTCTAAAGAAAAATAAATTCAAGTTTAAAAGGTTTTAATTTGTTTTGTCTGATAATTGGATGCGTTCTCTGCGTTGTTTGAATATACTGGAAAACATATCTCTTACCGCATAGGCATCCGTGTGTTCACGACTTTGTAGAATTTCGATGTCATCCACACGACTCTCTAATCTCGTAGTTGACTTGTCATTTTGCTCTTCGATGGCATACTCGACACCGAACTCCGGGTTAGCAAAATAACTAAAAAAAGTTGCCATAAGAATATCTGATACCAAACATATGTGCGATATCACGAGTAAAAAAACTCCTTTTGTTTCTTACCCTTTCTGCAAACTGACAATTTCTTTATATACTTCTTTTAATTTTTCATCGGGTGCTAGTTGAAAGCCCAAAACATAATTGCCACTCTAAGCAAAAATATTCAAATGTAATTAAGCCGAGCATGATGATTTGATTGATTTAAAAAGTACCTGTGGCGTTGTTTCTATTACCAGTGCTAAGCCAAACTTTGAATCTCTCAGTTTGATATTTTTCTAAACAATATAATGCTATAAACTAAAGAGTCTGCAATGATATACAGAAACTTACTGTTTGAAAGTATGGCACGCTAACATTAAAGTTCTCATTTAATTCTGCATGCCAAACCACCCTTATGTTTGTTATATGAAATATGCCCAAGTTTCCCTATACACAATTAGCATTCAATGCAACTTATAGAAATTGAATATTGGCAAACATACCTGGTCTGATGACAAATTCCACACACCATTGTATTTATTGTATAATCTTTCCTTTGGTAATATCCTCAGTGTGCCTTTATTCAACAATGAACTTCTTAACTTGATTTCACGATATAATTTCGATGACTCGTATGCTCTGCAAACAAAGTAGACGAATCAAGTTGAAATGAAAACAAATCAAAGTAGAAGAATATTATTTACTTATGAACAGCCACAACGGAATTGAGCATAGCACTTGTGCCAGAAACAAGATTTGTAAATATGAATTCATACCGAGATGAACCCGATTTTGTTAGTAAATATAGAGACTCGGTGTTTCCGCGGAGTTTCTAAACAAAAAAAAAACTGAAAATTGAATGCGAGAGATCATGTTTATCATACCGATTTTGCATTTCGAATAGTAATTGTAGCAATCGTGTAAAGACCAATAGCTACAAAATTAAAGTAAAAATTAAATGGTAAAATTAAGATGTGCCTTAATGCTTACAAAGATTTATTCGATTTGATGAATGACTATGCCATATAATACGAATATTAGTAACAGTTAATTTACCTAGGAAAAGCAACATAGAGATAAAGTAGTACCACATGCTAAACGTTCTTTATGTGACACAAGATCTATTGAGTTGAGCGTATGCAATAGTGAAAATAAAAGCATTGCTCTACCCAAATTCTGCTTGTGTATTTTTGTGAGACAGAACACAAGATGAATTTGTTGTTTAAAAACTAAAATACCTTTGTCCCCATTGTTTCCTTTTGTATCTTCGACCGAATTCAGAGTATCAATAACAAATTCACCAGGCCGATACTTTAGGTCGCTATGAACAAGACAAATTGTTCAAAAATGAGTTAAACCCGTAGGTTTTTAAACCATTTTAATTCTTACACTGGATTAACATCAAAGCGGATGTCCCGATCTTGCCATATTGCAACTGTTTCGGCCATAACTATTAAAAATACTCTAACAGCAACCTCACACTAACTTATGCTGTTCTGGTTGATAAGACGTAAATTAATAAATTTGATCGTTATTTTGTTGCTGTTTTTCATTTACATGAGTTACAAAATGAAGTATCATGAAGATCAAGTAAGAATATGACATGTTAGAGAACGTGCCTATATTATAATAGTTGAATTAGGAAGCAGATGTCGCTTTATGATAGTGGACTGCAGTTTTGCTAAGACTCTGTTAGGAGTGCACAGGTGTGATCGAGTAGTTATTCTGAAGATGTTCTGTTCGCGAAAGTAATGAATCTTTTTATTTTTTTTCCAAAAGTAACAAAATGGTGGAATGGCAAACTGAATCCTATCCCACTCGCCTTCGCTTTATTTACTAAAACGCTTTTTTGCATATAAGATTTGAGATTCTCATTCTGTCTTGAAAGTGATATGTGTCCTGTTTATTCTTTTGTTCTTTAGAAGAGGAAAAATCAAATTATGTCAATTAATTCTTCAAAACCGATTGTAAAGAATAAGATATTGATTAATCGAACAATTTCTAGTACACGTTCGTCCATGACAAGTCATGATAATATCGAAACAAATTCAACATCATTCACTAATGTAACCAGTAAATTTGAAAGTCGAGTAAGTTTTGTCTAAACATTGATAGTTACTGTTGTATGGAAAATAGTTTGATCTATGTACTCTCGTTTGACGAGTAGGAAGAGTCATCGGACGAAGAAATGTCATGGCCTACACCGCCACCATCGGAGGATTTGAAAGAAACTAGAACGATACAAAGAACCAGAGTGAAACAGAAGATACCAAGAGCTCGAAATGATGAAATTTGGGTGTATGAGAAATCGGTATGATTCGTGTATATATTTTGTAAATATGTAGTCTCATTTTGCGTATATTTCATCTTTCAGATTGGTATCGAACAAAAAACATCTTTAGATTATTGTCTAAAAACAACAATGTCATCACAAGGATTTATTAATGTGAGAGAAATTGGACAAGAACAAAATGGACAAAATATTTTGTCAAAACAAAAAACAGTTCTAGGAAATCATATACGAGTCAAAGTTGCTTTTTTCTGAATGAATTTTGTGTACATAATGATTGTAAAAACTATTGTTTGTAAATAAACAGATACTCTAGAGGGATTCAATTCTAATGTTACGCTGATTAACAGGTAAGAATTTGAAAACTAAGAGATAATAACAGCAGCTATTTTTAATTTGATTACTCAATTTTTAGTTAAAATTCGACGTTTTGAAAATACAATTTGCATTTTCAAGAAAACAATATATAAACCGACTACATTGTACTGTAATGTTACAATGTAGTCGGTTTATATATTGTTTTCTTGAAAATGCAAATTGTATTTTCAAAACGTCGAATTTTAACTAAAAATTGAATAATGAAATTAAAAATAACTGCTGTTATTATCCCTATAGTTTTAGGATTCAATTCTAGTATTAAACATAAATTAAGCCTCTTTTCATAAACTTTATTGAACAATTTTTATAAAATTGTTTTTATAAAAATGCAATTATTTTATATTTCTTTGAACATTTTAATAAATTTGTTGAAGAACTATTGTTTTCTATGTGAAACGATTTTTAATCAAACATTTCTCGAGGTGTGCTCTCTTCTTCGTACAAAAGAAAACTATAGAATAATATTTTTGTTTTTTTTTGTTTCATTACCTGCTATGATATGAGGAGAGAAACGATGGGACTCACACAGCTGTCACTAGATAGAAAATTAAGTGCTTGATAGCGATATCACACGATTCTTTTTTAAACAACACCATTTCTGATTTCATCCCCTTTTCTCGCAGAATTTCATGGAATATAAGTCAGCATCATTTGTTATTGTTGTGGTACTGTTAATGGGTAAGTAATTTCAAACGATATAAACAAAAATCTTGATTGTAAATTAAAATTTGCATTTCATGTAATGGACAAGGTTTTTCAACTAAGATCTGAACTATTTCTTTTCAGTATCCCATTTATGTTCCGCATACGATTCAAATGGAAAATGCATTCAACAATGCCTTAGTTATTGCTCATCAACAAGCAATATTCCATCACATTTATGTCCAAATGTTTGTCAATCAACATGTTATTCAGTAAGAGGTAAGTCTTGTGCAGATATCTGTTATGTTTTACTAAACATAAATCACGGTACAATATTCCAACACAGAGATAAACTAGAAATCTTTTTAAATTCTCTAGTATTCCTATAGTAATCTAAGAGATTATGGAAAAAGTATCCTGTAAATATTTTCAATACTTATTAAGTTGTAATCTTTTCGTTTTTTAGATGGAAATGGTGCAAATATGTTGGATGACGAGAATGTTGGATAGACAGACAGTTAGACGATTATTAACTGCTAAAATTTCACTATTTTCAAGTATGGGATGATTAAAGAAACAAAGATATAATCCGTTTATTAAAATAAAAGCGATGGTAGTCTTAATAGTACCTGAAGCAATTTAAAAATATATTCTTTGGCTAAATTTTGCTTAATAAACGTTTATATAATTCATAATCTCAGATCAGTCATTCCTATTCTGCTATGGAATTAGACAAATTTTATGAGTTTTGAAGTTTTTTTTCCACGATAAAAATTCTCATACAAATTTCCTAATATTTCTATGAATCTTTAATGTAAACTACGGATAGTGGTGTTACTTCAATAATATTGACGGGAAAAAAAAGATCATTTATATTTGAAAAAATATTTTTATTAAGTCTGACACTCTTTTTCTTTTTTTACAAAATTTTAATATTCATATAAAAATAGTTAAAACAAATGAAATTAAAATAATATTTACGCACATTGTTTTTATACAAATGATAAAAATGGCCCGACTAAAATATGACTACATTATGAACATAAATAGAATATCACAGTAGAAACTGAAAATTACAGAATATCTTATTATCTCTTACTTTATTGTACAAAACATTATTGTTTAAACACTTCGATTTAATTCGGATGTAGTCCATTCTTCAATACATTCATAGAAACGAACATATTGAGCCTGAAAAAAGAAAAGATAAGAGTTAGCCATTTTAAATAATAACAAATAAATAAAACTTACACGTGTGAGAAAAGCTGAACATTGTGAAGAAATTTTTTTAATATGATAGTCAATATCACATAGATGATCATTTTGAACTTGCTGCATAAGATTTGCTAAAAGACATATTATAGCACCATCAATAATATCACTAGAAAAAATAAATTAAAATAATAAATAAATATAGAATTGACTAAAGTACAAGAATATCATACTCAATATAAATTAATATAGGTATTTCAGATTTTTGTTCAAATAATACAAGAATTTTAGCTACTTTATACAATGAAATATGTCTTGGATCGTTAAATGGTTGATAAATATATGTTGGATTTTGCTAAAAGTTAAAATCATATTTACGAATATATGAGTTTTATTTTTTGATTATTTTTTCAAAATACTTTATCATTTTTATATCGTCGAAAATCAGATGAAATTTGTTCACTTTCATCTAATTGTAAATTTTCGTATTTAATCAAATCCATATCCTAGAAAAATGAATATTTCTAAACTTTTATCTAAAAAAACAACAACATGTCATTCGATTTATAATTACTTTATTACTACTGTGTTGCATTAAAAAAAAATGACGAATATTATATGTTGAAATGGCTTTTGAAATAATATCTCGTCCACGTCCATTCATTATCATAAATGCTTTTGAATATATATAACCCTAAATAAAAATTAAAAATAAGAAAAATATATTCTACAACGTAATAATTGTGTGTTTTTAATTAAAAGTGTTGTAAAATTTTATTAATTAACATTTTTAAATGTCTGTACTTACATCGATCGCATAGGCTGAACTTGCTTCTCTGACTTGTATTATTGTCTCATTTTTTGATTCTGAATGAATGAAATAATATTCAATTAATTCTCATCTCAAGTATAAATAGACATACCTATTGACAAAACAGCATCTAATTCTCGTAGTTTATGTGATGAAAAAATCTTAAGAAAAAAGAAGAATAAAAAAAATTCAAAAATTTTTGATTTTGTTTTTATATTACTTTAAATTGTTCTTCTAATCTTGTTGAATAAAATAGTTCAAATTTATTATGTAAAAGTCTTTTGATATATCGATCAACTGTTTGATAATTAGTAAGATCAGGTAAAAAATTCCAAATAGATAAATAAACAAGAACACGATAAATAATCATTAACGTTTGCTATAAATTAAGAAATAAAACGTTTTCATAAGATATTAAAATTTGATTGACAACACAGAGCTGGACGAGTTCAACTCGACTCGAGTCACATTTGTTTAAATACTCTGATTTGATTTGGATTCGAAAATTGGATGACGTTGACTCGAGTTATTCATTCAAAAAAATGACAATTTATAAGACTAAATTTGCACTTAGTCATAACTTTCGTTCTAATTGAATGTATTGTATCCGAACGATTTTTTGTGCATAAATACTAGGAACTAGATAATCGTGTCATGAAAAAATTCTTGTAAACGTTGTTTATAAAAATAAACAGAAAACGAAAAAATGGTAAAAATAACTTGACTCGACTCGAAACCGCTACGAAATGACTCGAACTCGAAAAGTGGCTTGACTCGTCCAGATCTGTGACAACATACCATATTTAGACTAAAATTGGATAATTGTTGTTGTAAACAATAAATTGTTTGTGGAACATCAACATAGTGATAATATGAACTCAAACGACGATTAATATCAATAACCATAAATGCAAATGGACGATTTTTATCATGACTATAAAAAATTTAAAAAATATTTTATATAATTAAATTGACTCTCATTTAAATGCTAAGTAAAAAGTTATTTTTTTTCTAATTTATTAAAAATAATTATATTTTTTGAAAAACAAGCAGAAATGTGGTTTAATGGCTCACTCTCATGCTCTCCACACATCCCCTCCTCACCATTCCCAGTCACACAAAAATATAGCTTACTAAAGTAGGAATTAACTTAGCTAATTAACAAAAATTAACTTAGCATTTAGGTAGTTTTATTTAGCAAAAAAATAGTAGTCAATTAAATTTAATCTTTATTATTAGAATAATCTTCATAAAATACCCGCATTGTTGTATAGCAATCATTTCTGAAATTGAATTTGATTCTTTTTCAATTTTTTCTTTATATTCAACGAGAAATTGTAATTTCAAAATAGCAGTCGGATCAGTGTCAAATGTTGACGATGTCCATCTTTTGATTATATGATGTTCAATAAATCGTATTGTTGAACTCAACTGATCCATCTAGAGTATAGTTATTGTCGTTAAGTATTGTACAAACGAAAAAGCACTTCTTCAAATATACCTCAGAAATACTCATATATGTTGTATCAACATCTAAACGTTTGATCGATCGTACAAAATTAATTTGATATTTTCCAACTTTCATTGGAGAATTTATATCATTTGGCCAATATTGAATAAATTGTGTCTATTATAAGAAATAAAATTAAAATAATATCAAATAGTATTTAAAGATAATAACATACATTTTCATCTAAATCATATATCATGACAATTGTTGAAATGAAACGATTCCAAATTGTTTCCCAAAATGTGCCGATAGTATTTTGTCGTACATCTATACAATTAATAACATCGTATATTTATCTAATTAATATTCAAAAATCTAACCTTCAATATATAAATAAGAAACATTCAATTGATTCGAATTAATATTTAAAATCTTAAATAAACTAGAAATATTTATTTAAAATATAATATAATATATGACAACAACAAGATGTTGTTAACTGTTTGTATCTACCTTAAATGTATAGGTTTGTAAATGATTATTATTTAACTCTGACGTTGATGTATTTGTATGATCTAAATTGATATTAATATAAACTTGAAAATATATCAATTCGAATAATTTATAATATCATACTCAATTGTTCGTGAAATGTCTAAAAGATAATATTCAATATTTATTTAAAAATATAGAAATTAATCTAATTACCTCTAATTGAAATCGTAACTGTTTATATTGATCTATTGAGAGATTTATTACAGACTGTTTTATTTGATTTGTAGGCATTACCATTGTATGTTTGAGTAGTCTAGGACGTATTTGTTTGTATATATTTTCTTGTTCTATATAATAATCTGATGGAATTCGTTGACTCCAATTTATAGGAGGTCTTAGTGGCCCACACCAATTGAGTCCCAAATTTTTCATAGCACTTTCGTGACCAAATAAAGTAGCATCATTTCTTAAATGTTTCATATCTTCACGTGTTGTTGCATTTTTCATGGCCAGACCACAATGATAACACCAAAATGAGCCTAATGTAAATACGAGTGAAAATGCAACCATGGCAACAAAAAATGTCGGTATATTATAAGCAATAAATAGACTAATATTATCTTTATATGTATCCCAACGAAAATAGGCTGCAGTAGCACAACCGCCTAACACAATGGCACATAGTAAACAACAGGATAATAAAAAATTACAAAAATATCGATAATTGAGTTGACCAACGCAATTGTTTATCCAAAAATCGAGAGTAAGAAATAGTAATTTTGTTAATATTTAATTTTTTTTGAAGAACTTACCACGGACAATGGTGATCAAAATTCTAGAGAAGAGAGAAATATTAAAAAATGATTTAAAAAAAACAACAAAAGTACACGTTTGTCTTACTTGAACGCATGTGTTACATGTTGAACAATGTGATACTCGTGGTAAACGATACATTCTACATGTATAACAGTAAGTCAATTTGTATGTAGCACCTCGAATTAAAACCTCCACTGGTGGAGGCATAGAGGGAAAATATTGTCCATTTCTAAAAATAGTTTCATATATTCTAATAATTCTAATAGTTATATTTGAAATTAAAAGATACTCACACATCTGTTTGAATATTGTGTTCTTTCTCTATTTGTAAACATTCTTCAGCATTAGGTTTTGGTACTACGCCGGGATCATGTAAGGCAGCAAATAGATAATTTGTTATTGTAAAGAAAAAGAGAATAGAAAATAATATTGGAAAATAATAATGACCTTTTTGAGTTAAAAGTGGTAGGCTAAAGTCAAGGAAAATAAATGTGAGATAAACTTTTAAAATATCAATATATGAGAAACACTTACTCCCATCCAGCGTGAAATCCTCCGCATATAACAATAAATACTCAACGGCTATTAAAGCTGGCCAATATTTCCCTGTAAAGCATGTTCCACACCAAGACACAGTTTTTGATGAGTAAATCTACATAAATTAGAAGAAAAGGTGCTTCTCATTATAGATGAAATCACATCAAAACATAGGAAAGAGATATTGTGGACGTTTCATTTAAAGGTCGCATCAGATAAAAAACATCACTTGATCATTCGATGTGTCATCCATCAAATATATTTAGTTCAAAAAAAATTTTCTGATGTCAATTTGTTGTTTTATAAATTTTTGACATGTTTTCAATGTTACGATTTTATTTTTCAAATATTTTTCATTCAAAATATCCTTATTTTCAAAATAATAAAAAACTTTTTATACCTGTCCACGACGAGCATATTTAATAAGCGGAAGTTCGTCCGACATAAACTCTAATCTAAAACATGCAAAAAATAGTAAGCATTTAAAACACGTTTCAAAAACAATTATGAACTCAAATGTGAATAGGTTACTTGTTAGTTGTTGTTGGATAAAATCTTACTCGAGACATAAACAAGCGTGACGTTTTTGCTATGTTGATTAATAGTTTATTTAATTTTTTTGTTCCTATTCATCACCAAAGGAGACAAAAGGCATATAGATTAATATTTTCTTTCTTTCTGTTCTGTCGTTGCTACAGAAAGAATATAATCAGTAAAGTCTATAGCACATAAATAACAACTATATAGAACGAGCAAAGCTACGGCGAACTTTCTTTTTTTTCGATTTCTGTCAAGCGCATTTTGTACGTCCTTTTTTTTTTTCTATGGTTAAAAAAAAATGGAAACATTTAAGTACTACTGATCCATTTTTCTTGTTGATATTCATGGAAGAGTCTTGTTTCTTGCCATTTCACAAAAGACATTTGTACACTATTTGACATATTTTTACAAAGAATTTTTTTTCTTTTAAGACTCAGTTAAGAATGGTAACACTGAAATTCAAAAGAATAAAAAATGTGCAAGAATTTTTCTTATAATTCTTAGAAACATTTTCCAACAAACAAAATACGGTAAAAAACAAAATGGTATTCTTTTTTACGTATATGTACATATACATAAGAGAAACTAGTATTTCTTTCACCATCATAAACACATGCAAAGACTCGATTGTCTCTCGACAAAGAATCTTGTCAGATTTAAAACAATTTCCCTGAACGTCTATGTTGTACGTTATGTATCGTACGGGAATCAACAAAATCTCATTATTTCATACACGTAACTTTCACGAAAAACGGTGAAATATTGGTCAAAGATGTAAACAAAAATTTGATCGATCAAGACAAATATTGTCTGAAATGGTAAGAGATAAGAATCTTGTAAGAGCATCCGCAAGAAAGTAGATCAATGATTATGATGTATTTCATAAATATCGAAAAAAAAACAACAACTATTATATGGATATTATTAGGAGTTTATTTTTTATCCTCGCGAGCTAGTAGTTACTAATAGATGTTTCTAGAGGACAAGTATGAGTACAACGGTAATAGCAGTGCCAAAAAATGTAGAAGGAAGTAAACAAAGTACTGATGCGACAAATTTGAAAAAGAAAAAAGTGAAACAATCATCATTTTGTAGTAAATTAGCATGTACCGGCAAGAAAAGTATGTAAATATATCTATTTCCAGTCTCCATAACTAACTTGTTTATTTTTATTTTAGAGTCTGTTTTAAACAATGATGAAATTATTCGTGCAGCTGATCATTATCTTCAAGCATTATTTAATCAACAGCAATTTAGCGGTTCAGTTCTAATAGCCAAAGATGGTGAAATATTATTAATAAAAGGGTACGGATGTGCTGATTATACGTCTTCACTAGGTAATAATTCGCAAACCGTATTTCGTATTGGTTCTGTGACAAAACCATTTACAGCCACAATTGTTATGAAACTTTATGAATTGAATTTGTTAAGTTTAAATGATCCATTATCAAAATATGTGCCTGATTTTGCAAATGGAGAACAAATAAAAATCAAACATTTGGTATCGAATACATCGGGAATAATCGATTATACAGAAACGTCAATATTTATGGAATCATTAGAGAAAAATCTGCCTATCGATCGTGTCATCGATATTTTTAGAAATGAACCATTACAGTTCACACCCGGCTCAAAATATGCATATTCAAACTCGAATGTAAGTGTCACTTGACTATTGAAATGACTTTATTTGTTATTAGCATTAAATTCTTATTTCTAGTTTATTTTACTTGGAAATATTATTGAAAAGGTGACAGGCAAAAGTTACGAAGAAAATCTATATAAATTTATACTTGAACCATGTTGTATGAACGATTCTGGATATGACTGCGATCATGATACGTCTACTCCAAAACAACAAATAGTTGATTCGAATATAACTGAACAAAAACAAACAGAGTTAATACTTGAAACAAAACCTCATGAACCATTGGTCAAAAAAACAAAACGAGCTTGTGGTTATATATGTCATACAGATCCAGATGGGTTAGGGACATGTCGTTTCATTGATATGAGTTTAGCACGTGCGGCTGGTGGTATATACAGTACCGTTGAAGATTTGTATAAATTTGATCGTTGTTTATATAATGAAACAATATTGAGAAGAGCAACAAAAAAAGTTATGTTCAAACCCGTGAAAGAAGATTATGCACTCGGGTACGAATTATAGCAATCATGTCCCTATTTTGATTTATTCTGATTATTTTTTCCTTTCTAGATGGAGAATAGAACATCCCGGATCAAGATTACCGTGGTTACGACATTTATGTATAGCACACGAGGGTGAAATATTTGGATTTATGTCAGCAATGGCACGTTTTCCGAAGGATAATGCTTTCATCGCCGTATTAAGCAATTTTGAGCATACAGATATAGCAAAGATCAGGAGAGATTTAACAGATATTCTTTATGGACTTTATCCAAAAGAATAATCATTTCTACTATCTACCTCAACAAATTCGATAATTTAAAACTTTTTCAGAGAATATTGAAATATCCTATATTATTTTTTTCTTCTTCAATATTTCACATCTACACAGTTTTCGCATTTGCGTTAGAAGTTAGACAAAACTTCTGGCAACATATATATATTTTTTTTAAAAACAAAATATTCAACAAATTTCTATAAGAAAAAGAAGCGTCCACTATCTCTTCTTTTTCCTCAATATCAAAAATAGTTATTAATGTAAATATAGATAGCTCAAATTAGATAGTTTTTTGAAAGAATTTCAGACACTTCGTTGAAAACAACTTTCAACATTCCGTGTTATACAGAGATGTCAGGAAACTAGAACATAGTTAGTCATTTATATTTTATAATAATAGTAATTCGCGTACACCATAGTGTATTGAAAAAGATGACGATTTGTTAATAAACATATCAGAAAAGTGTATGAAAATGTTTTCTGTTAATTAGTCTATTTTAGTTTCATAATATATTGTTAAAATATTACTGGTATTATTTTGCTACTTGGTTAAGGCAACTTTTTTTATCAATAAAAAATTATCTTATCATTTAAAATAGAACGTGAGAATAAAGCGTAAAAATAAGTTCCATATGAAACAGTAGATTTCTAGTATCATCACTTATTTTAATTTAAATAGTCATACAAAATATAAAAATCCACATAACTAAAAAAAACAATTGCGTATTTTATACAGAAAAATGATTCTAATCTGATACATTTGTTAGCGTTGCTGAAGGTGCTGAACTATTTGTTTTTTTCAAGTATTTCAATAGAGAATAAATAGTTACTGGAGTTATTCCAGGTATTCTTCCTAAAGCTCCTAGAGTTTGTGGTCGAACTTGGTGCAGTTTAGCCTTAGCTTCATTACTAATACTAACTAGATTGTAATCAAAATTATCTGGTATAATATATGTTTCATCCCGTTTCATTTCTTCAATTTCATCCTGTTGTCTCATTGTTTGATTTTCATATAATGCTTCAATATATATTCTATTACGCAACGTTGCATCTTCTAATAATATTTTTTGTAAATTGTCTGGTAATAATGAAGTCCATTTTGAATGATTTTCGTCTCCACCACAATAGCTTGCTTGTGATATTAGAGAAAATAAAGATTTTGGTGAAGTATTTTTGATTTCTTCATCGACAAATAATGAACGCCATTGATTTAGAGGTTTAATCATTTTCTGTAGATAATCTTTTGTTTTATCAAAATTATTTTTAAAATTAATATATTTTTCATAACGTTCATTTCTTACACAACCGATATCATAGCCTTTTTGGGTTAAACGCATATCAGCATTATCAGCTCGTAAAGTAATTCCTAAAAGACAGAAACACTATTTGAACATATTAAATACGAACAAAATATAAAACTATTCTACTTACGATATTCACTTCTACTAGTAAACATACGATATGGCTCCGTTGCTCCATGCAAGGTCAGATCATCGATCATTACACCAATATAACCGTCACAACGGCTAACTGTAAATATTGGTTTATCAAGAATTTTACAAGCTGCATTAATACCGGCAATAATTCCTTGAGCTCCAGCTTCTTCATACCCCGTGGTTCTAAAATGAAAGCGAATTTGATTTGCATTTCCTCAATAATTGTTGAGGTTCTGCAAACTATCATTGAAGAAACAGTTAATTAGTTAAAGAACATTTCGAATACTGAAAGTAACACTCTTTTTTGTATATTAGAAACGGAAACTTGATTGTTGTCTTACCCATTAATTTGTCCAGCAAAAAATAAGTTATTGACACGTTTTGTTTCGAGACTCGCTTTCACTTCTCGCGGATCGACATAATCGTATTCAACACCATAACCCGGGCGTACCATTGTGACATTTTCTAAGCCGGGAATTGAACGTAACATTTTTAATTGCGCATCTTCAGGCATTGTGCAACTCGTGCCTTGTGGATAGGTTAATGGCGAATCAAGCCCTTCTATAAGAGATGAGCAACAAAAAAACTGAACGAGAAATAAGAAAAGATATATCATGCCTTCGTTTAGAAGAAAGTAAAAGGTATAACGCACCTGGTTCAAGCCAAACCGGATGTTCAGGATTTTTGAAACGGAGAATTTTTGATTCAATTGATGGACAATAGCGTGGACCAGTTGTATCTTGCTTCACGTGACGATTAAGATGTAAATTTTGACGAATAATATTTGCTACTTCTGGTGTTGTATGTGTCAAATGACATTTTAGCTGCATATTAGGGTCAATCCATACTTTATCATTCATGAATGAAAATGGATGGGGCGGATTGTCGGCATCATTTGCTTCGGTTTTACTGAAGTCTATTGTACTTGTTTTTAGGCGAGCAGGCGTACCTGAATGGAAATCGCTAATGATAACTGAAACGTTTTACTCCAAGAAAATGTTCATGTAATCACCCGTTTTTAACCGTCCCATTTGAAATCCAATATCTTCAATTGATTTAGCTAAATCGATACTTGGTTGATCTCCGATTCGTCCAGCAGGTCGCTGTTCTAAACCAATATTAATTGATCCTCTTAAAAATGTGCCAGTTGTAATGATAACGGCTTTTGTTGGAATCAACGAATCATTGTCTAATGTCACTCCACATATCCATCGTTGTTTATTTTGTTTATCATCTATATTTTCTTCGATTTTGATATCTTTAACAGATGCTGCCATTACATGTAAATTAGGGGTATTCAAGATTTCATTTTGCATTTCTTTTTTATATAATTTACGATCAATTTGTGCTCGATGTCCCCATACAGCAGGACCTTTGCGTCGATTTAAAATTTTATAATGTATACCGGATTTATCGCATATTCGAGAACATAAACCATCCAATGCGTCAATTTCTCGCATCAAATGGCCTTTCCCGATGCCACCGAAGCTTGGATTACAACTCATTTCCCCAATAGTTTCTAATTTATGAGTAATCTAACATTGACGAGGACAAATAAATAACAGGATCATATTGGAAAGGTGAAATATACTTACAAATAGCGTTTTTACGCCCATTCGAGCCGAAGCATGTGCAGCTAGAACCAAAAATCATATTTGCAAGACGTCCGCCAGAAGCGAAAGTAAATCTGTATTTACCTTCACATCCTGCATGACCACCACCCACCACAACGACACTGTAAGAATCGAATACTGAATAAGTCTTCGGCTGTTCAACAACTCCACGAATAATTTCATTTGATGTGACTGTGGAATAGTTTGCATTAAGCACAATTTTCCAGTATTGATGTAGACATTTAGCCGGTCTGACAAACATTTTTCCAACCAGAAGCAGATCTACTATAGTATATAAAAATACAGATACTATATAGAAATAACTTATTACGGAAACAATACCATATTCCTTATCTAAAGAATGTGTGGCAAAACTTCAAATTTTCCAAACCTTACCAAAAATGATGGCAAAAACGAATAACTGTAAGACGGTGCTATACTTTTTCATTTGAATCAGCAGCGGAGTACAATTTTTGTTTTTTGATGAATAAAAACTGAGACGTGCTCATGGCAGAGTCAGGCTATTTATCCATGAGGTCTCTTGCGAGCGATGATTCTCACATATTATCGTGATATTTGCTTCTGTGCGCGAATAGCATAATTTATCAAGGCTTAACGCAATATTAACTATTCAGCTATTAAAATTGTCTTACTATATATCGTGAAAATACTTTAGAGATATATCTTCAGTTGTTCCGTTAACTTTTTTCAATATGCCGCGGTACTACTGTGAGAATGATGCTCAAATAATTGTTCCTATTTTTCTTTCCGATTCTTTTTTCCAGTTTGTAAGCTTCTAAAGTCTTCGAGATGAGATCAGAGACTGACCGAGCAATACACCAGACTAAGACTGTTTTATTCACGAAAAATGAGAGTCATCAAAGGTCCCCGACCTATAATAACTGAAGCCAAACAACACCAAAAAAGTAATAACAAATAACAAAACAGAGAAGACAACTAAGATTAGAACCAGGGGGTCGTATCACGAAAAAACTTAAGTCGGGACCTAAGTCTAAGTTTAAGACCGACTTAAGTCTGAGGACTCAAACCGTATCACGAAAAAGACTTAAGTTGGCGATTTGTTTACTTTTTAAAAGTCGTTGACAACAGTGACAAACCACAGATAAAAACCCGCAAAATAACGAAATATTTATTCTCTAATCCTTAGAATGTCGCCGAATCGTATCGTTAAATGCCTAATCTATTCAAAAAATGCCTCATTGGCTCAAGTCCGACTTAAGTTTACGGTCCTAACTTTCAGATTACATTTCCCATAACTTAGGTCACCCTTTGATTGTCATACGACCCCCAGAAGTAAAAAAAATAAGCGAAAAATAAAAAGAACAAATATAAATTCTTAACTGACAACCGTTTCACTTGAAGATATACTGAAGTAAAGCTGTTTTGAAAGACATTAAAGAAGAAAGACGAATCACTTAATCTGGGAGATTATTTCAATCAGCAACAGTTGAATAGCGCCAGACGAACCAAGCACAAGAAAACTAGAATCAAGTACTAACATCTCCTAGTTACTACGTCGTTCGACGAAGAATGGGTAAAATTCACAAAATCTTAACTAAGTTCTCCTGAAATCTATTTCTGCAAGTCACAGAAAAGAGCAATAAAAATATTTGTTTCTCAAAACCCAATGAAACTATGTATTCGTTCCTCTTCATCAGTATTCTGCATATATGTCGCCAACAGTTAAGGTTGCCAAATGGACCGATATACTCTCAACGCGTTCCGTCTGATTTTATCCGGAGAATGCATTGACCTTAGCGCCGCGGTTGGCCAATCTGCCAACAATCGAGTACCCTTTACTTTCAATAACATGCAATGCTATATATCAGTGGCGGATCTAGCACCACGGCGGTTCGGCGACCGTCGCCACCTCGCAAATGGAATTCTAATGCGAGTACACTACCAGACTTCCTTAGAAAAAATATTCATACTACCTCGGACGACATCGTTTAGAAATCGCCACCCCGTCGATAGAATTTTGGATCCGCCAAGATGAGAGAGAGGCTCTTTTTAGTATGTAACAGTTAGTAAAGAAGTCACTTAGGAATCATATGACATAGAATGACATGGCTTTCACTCATCACCGTTATTACAATTACAGGTGCTCAAGCTTAAACTTTTCTGAATGAAAATAGAGGTATCCTAAATGGCCCATAGTGTACAAAGTCGGGGCACTTCCCAGGTGGTCTGGTTTCGTTTTAATAAAATTGAGCTACATAGTTCTTTAATTAAATGTGCCGAGAGTTGACTTAACATGACTAGTATCAGATAACCTATATTAAAAACGAAAACTTTTTTAATCCTTTCTCAGTCCTCTAGAACGCGCTATTCGCGAAAGCGTCAATTCGACTATATTGCATTTCAGACAACCTATAAAAAAAGATTAATATGGCAGAGCCTACTAACAAGCCTGCACATTCCGTTCCAGCAGGCAAAATTCTCACGAGCAGAGCTGTGCAGGTCCGCAGGGAACATCGTGGCAGACCCTGGAAGACCCGCAGCAGACACTGTCACATATCTATGCTGCATTCTCTGCAGAGGTATGTGACAGTGTCTGCTGCGGGTATGCTCTCGAAAGCGTATTTTTTAAATGTTCTGAAATTTTTTCTTACCAAGAAAAAACTGACTAACGCGTACTCTTGCTACTCATGATGAAACTCGGGCATCCTCATTATTTTTTGGAAAAAAACAACTCCGGTTTTATTACTGAAGTTTAGATTTTCCTAGGCATGATAGCTCCACAGCGCCCATTACCGTGTACTTTTTCTGCAATCAAAAACATACAGACAATACCCAGCTTTCACAATCACCCTATATTTAAAAATATACTTGAATAAATGAAATTTCCGAGACATCTCGGCTATTTTTCCTGAAATAAGCTTGGTTCTTTCTCCAGTGCGTAATAAAAGCTCAACATATTATTTCATTCACAACAATTTTAAAAAGCTTGTTCCATCAAAAAGTAGTACTAAATTTATCTTCTTCATACTCAATTATCGGGTACGCCATAATTTTTGGATGGGAATACTTTAGAAAAAAGTTTTCACATCGTTTTGCTTTTTATCCCATACGGCACTTTTTTCATACCCCGATTAAAAAGTTATCGCATACCTGATAATGGGGAACACTAATCCCCAATCAATTGAACGAGCTTATAAAATTTTTCGATTTGGTTAAAATTATTAATCATACTAGGCCCTTAAAAAATGTGTTCTTCTCTTTTTCAGGAAAATCAAAACTGAAGAGTCCGGAACGGGAACTTTGTTCTTCATTTGTGCCAAATCGAGAAATCACATTCTGTTCTTCGGCTCTACAAAACTTTCTTTTTCAATTTTTCAAAAAAAACATTTTACTATAAAATCGTTCTAGAATCACCCTGTGTCGAGATTCACGCTTCAAAAGTATTTGAAATGTATTATGACGGACTGATTCTTCTTACCATGAATAAAAAAATTTAAAAAGACACTGGTCTAAAGAATTGTGGTCTAAATAACTCGATAGGCACAGCACAAATGAAGGTCTAACTCATATGATCAGATAGAGTACAGCTATATATGGGTATACTTTTTAATTAATTAGCACCCGATAATGAACTGTATCAAAAACTTCTTGGCGTCCTAATGATTTGACTCTTTTTACCGCACATGACCTGATCAGAGTGTCATTTGAATACATCTGGAAAGCTAACATTTTTCAGAAATCTTTATATTAGCGCGTGCATAATAGTAAACTCGCTAAGCTTTCACATTTTTACAATTTAAAACGAGAAATAATGAAATTTATTTACCGATGAACAACATAATCGAAAAAACATCTTTCTACTGTGTTGTGGGTTTTACACCATGATACTCTTTCAATGGTGATTCTTTTCGTAATTTACTTATTCATGAGAAAATCAGGAATGCGAATCCAAACTTTTTTTGAAACATTTTAACTGTTCGGTTTCCAGCTATATCACAGGTTCTTTCCGACGATGTACAATGCTATACAGCGATTTTAGTAGATAATAAGTAGTGAAAACCTGGTTTCTACAACTAAGCATGTGATTGTATGGATTTTATGGATGTTTCTGAATCGCTTGATTTAGCTTTCTCTTTTAAACATTACCTCAGATTCTTTCATATCGCACAATATAAATTCAATATAAACAAATGTAGCCATAGAAATATATCTTGTACGCAAATGAGATATTACACCCCGATAGTTCATTTCTTTGAAACCTGCGAGTGACAAATTTTTCAATAAAAGACTAAAGAAAAAACATGCTTAGTTGGTAAGAATCCTTTGTCTCATTGTGGACGATTGCTATGTTGTTGACGTTTTCACCCAAATTGAATTCCCGTTTTGAATTCAGAAGCTTCCAAATGAAAATACAATGTTCAAAGTATAACATAAATGACTTAATATGTCTAATTGAAAACTCTTTTGGCTTCAACAACCCGCAGCAGTCAATGAATATATTTAGCTCGATTAATGGTATCAAACAGAAAACAGATAAATCATCTACCGTCTTCAAGTTTGTGCCATTTGTCGAAAACAAAATATTTCTGCTCAAAGTATTTATTACAGATCGACGATTCTTCATCTATTAATTCATGACATTGTAAAACATGGCAAAAGTCAAGAGCCGTGAATTATAGTGCCATAAGTCAAAAAGATGACGGTGGAATCTATCTCAGACCTAAAATGTTACGATAAATTACCTGATAATTGATAATGTTGTTTCTTGAACATACATGCTCTCCGATGAGCGCGTATCGTCCTAAATAAGATCGTCTGGTTGTTCAAGGAGTTTTTATACACCAAAGATGACAATGCATTTTTTTTTAAATGAGAAAAAGAAAAAGCAACCAATCGTGTTTTCTCTTCTATATCAATCTCTATTAACACATTAGTTCACACTTATATAAATCATATCAAGTCAACCATTAGTCAGTTATTTTCTACAATATATTTTAAAGCCAATAGGAACGGAACGAAAAAGAGAAAATTGGTTTAATTGGAATCAAAGGTAAACTTGTATTATATATATGATCATGATCAACATGACGTAATAAATTGATTTCATGCTCTGGAAAAAACTGGAGCAAATTGTTTAATTGAATAAAAATCTTTCCACTGTGTTGAGCCAATTAGAATCGCTTCTTTGATAAATTATTGACGTAACATTTGGTAATAGTTCGCACGATCACAGTTTAATACATATTGGATTAATAATGCCAGCTGACGTAGTTCTCGGAA